TCTTTATGTATTCAACTTTTTATTTCATGTAATTCCATATACAGGCATGTCCATGTAATCTTTTTCTGCACTTCCATATACTTCTACATCAGACCATTTGTCTACTACGAAAGGTTGGTCACGATACATTATTTCGCGCGAAACGTCATGGGTAAATATTCGCGCATTTCCTTTGGAATGTATTTTCTATTAAAATGGTAATAGCTTCAATGAAATTTCAAAATGTATGTTCTTATAACCTGAATATTGAGCTTGAGAAAGTATATTTATCATATTGCACTTATTATAATGGATAAGTAACACTAAAGCAGTGATTCAGGTAAGATTTTCTACAAGTTTTATTTTCCTGTTTACCCCTAAAGTGGACTATCCCGATTAGTTACACATTCATGAAAAGACTGGAATGTTTCGCCCCAAAACATGTCTCGTCCTGCGACGGTCAAGGAATCTGATACCATTTATGTTCAATAACATCTTTTAGAAAAAAATCTTTAAATCATTTTCATTAAACAATCTTTAAAAAAATGGTTTTCTTATTTCTGTCTTTTCTGTTCATTTAATATGACACAAGCCTGTATGGGGAAAAACAATGGCCACGTAATAATTACTATATATTGATTGCTTTAGTCAGGTAAGTTTCTTGAAAAGCTATTACTTATAACCATGGTTTAGGATCAGTTTTTCCGTGGTGTAAAACAAAAGGTTGTAGTTATCCTATTTCCACTTGTAGTCATGTCGTTTTTCTACTTTGAGATACAGACAAGAACAATTATAGTAGACGTTTGAGGAAACCCCGGATTAAAACTCTATTGCGAAACAGAATTGCAAAGTAATTGTGATGTGACAATCCAACATTTCCTTCACATTTCTTTGATCCTTATGGTATTTCATTCAAACAAACGCTCGGCTGACTCCATAAATTCTGACCTACTTATCGGTGTTTACAGAGACAGCCGCCATTTTGGACCCGCTTCAAATTTAGAAATGCGAATATCTAGAGTTTGGATTGATCAATTCTAAAATAAATTATATATTAAGCATTTTCAGAAGAGTCTCTATTAACCTTATTAAAATAAAAGAAAAATATAGAAAAACAAAAAAAGTTTAAATATACGACTTTTTTAAATTCGCATCCGGTAAAGACCGGAAGTATTGACGACGCACAAAAAGGTGATTCAACTCATCTAGAAGACATAACCTATCATCTCTAACAAGTCTCCAGTTCATATCTTAAACCATTTTTGACAAAAAGGGGGGACAAAATTTCATTTTAAAATCAGAAAACTGTCAATAACTTGGCACCGGAAGCGAGTTTTCCAAATTTTCCTTCTGATGAACAAAGTCCATTTGAGGACGCATAATTCCTGAAACTTTCATTTAAAGCCACTGAATAGTTTTTGAGAAATCGCCTGCACAAAATTTTGGGGAAAAAAATAAGAATAATAATAATAATAAGAAACAGCAGAATCACTATAAGGTCTTCCGTGAAGACGGAAGACCTTAATAAGAAACAGTAGAATCACTATAAGGTCTTCCGTGAAGACGGAAGACCTTAATAATAATAATAAGAAACAGAGTAAAAACAATATGTTCCCAAACTTCGTTTGGGGAACATAAATACACGTAAACTGCAATAAAATGTAAACAAAAGTAATATAAAGTATCACGTGTCGTCTATTCCACAGGTACCTTGACTAGAAAGCAGTCAGGTGTAACGAATGCGAAGGGTATACACCAGTGCTGTTATCGGAGATAATAAAATTAATATGGTGTATACCTATTTACGAATCGTGTTCAGCTTTATGAATGGTTTTCTTTTTTATATTCTCAAGTGACCAATTCTTATGTATATACATTTCATAAGTTTAAGTAAACATTTTGTGTTTGAATACAATTAAAAAAAATCATTCAGAATTTAGTCCTCAATTTAGATTCCTATATGATCGAACAAATGACTTAAATTCTACCCGGTAAAAGTGTTTATAGCTTTATTGCTAATGAAAATTGTAGTAGCTTAAGAACCATATACTCTTTGCAAAAGAATCAGTTAAGAATACCTCACTAGTAAATTATGGCGTATTCCATGCAATGTTTAAAAAAGATTGATACTTTTTACGAAAGCGAATCTGAAAATCGTATGCAATTTAAATATACAAAATTTGTCAACAGTATGACGATAATTACGTAAGTATCTAACTCATTTCAGCGAACTGCCTTGGACTGCATTTATTTACATTTTATGCGCACTTTTATTAATTCTAATAATTTGTGTTAATAATTTTAAGAATATTCCGTGCACGTAAACCCTTTCTAACCCTCCTTGTGTTTGCTTGTGAAGGACAAATGTACCAATACATGAATTTCAAAACTAATAATAAACATATGTACGAGGGATTACAAAAAAGTTCGTTTACTGTTGTGATAAAATTAATACTAGAGAGGCTGCGCCTACAAAATTTATGAGGTATATAAAAGGAAAGCTAAGAAGTGTTGTAATTTTAGCTTGATACATTGATAATTTGCCAATTTATCATTAAATACACAAGACTTATATATGATCAACCGGCGCTACGTTCGACAACATCATTGTTTATCAATGTCCGCTCCCTCTGCGTCAAAACACTTTTCTTGACGCGATACACCGAATGTTAAATACTGACTGAAACCCATCTTATGTATATGATCTTAACATTTCTAGAACAGCTGATATTGAAAATGGATGAATACGAAAGATAAAGATTCTAATTTGACTTTGGCAGCTTAATCCGCTCGTCCGGGTTGAATTTTTACCGTACGTGAACAACGATACTTTTCGACGCATGACTGACTTTCAACATCCGGACCGCGAATCATGCAGCGTTAAACTTCTCTCTCCGAATCCTTTTTTTTTTTATGCCCCCGGATCGAAAGATCCCGGGGGTATATTGTTTTTGTCCTGTCTGTCTGTTTATCTGTTTGTCTGTTTGTCCGTTTGTCTGTCTGTTTGTCCGTTTGTCTGTCTGTTTGTCCGTTTGTCTGTCTGTTTGTCTGTTGTCAACTTTAACCTTGCCCATAACTTTTGATTGGTTGGAGCTATGACTTTCATATTTCACATGTGTATTCCTTGTGACAAGACCTTTCTTTGGGTACCATCATATTTGACCTTTTGACCTTGACCTTGGAGTTTGACCCACTTTTGCAAAATTTTGTGAGACTTTAACCTTGGCCATAACTTCTGAACAGTTGGTGCTTGGAATTTCAAACTTCACATGTGTATTCTTTGTGACAAGGCCTTCCTTTGGATACCAACAACTTTGAACTTTTGACCTTGACCTTGGACTTTGACCTACTTTTGAAAAACTTTAACCTTGGCCAGAACTTTTGAACAGTTGGTGCTTAGGGTTTCAAACTTCACATGTGTATTCCTTGTGACAAGACCTTCTTCTGGATATCAACCACTTTGACCCTTTGACCTTGACCTAGGAGTTTGACCTACTTTTGAAAAACTTTAACCTTGGCCATAACTTTCGAATGGTTGGAGCTAGGGCTTTCATACTTCACATATGTAATCCTTGTGACAAGACCTTCCTTTGAAAACCAACCACTTTGACCTTTTGACCTTGACCTAGGAGTTTGACCTACTTTTGAAAAACTTTAACCTTGGCCATAACTTTTGAATGGTTGATGCTAGGGCTTTCATACTTCACATATGTAATCCTTGTGACAAGACCTTCCTTTGGATACCAACCACTTTGACCCTTTGACCTTGACCTAGGAGTTTGACCTACTTTTGAAAAACTTTAACCTTGGCCATAACTTTTGAATGGTTGGTGCTAGGGCTTTCATACTTCACATATGTAATCCTTGTGACAAGATCTTCCTTTGGATACCAACCACTTTGACCTTGACCTTGACGTTTGACTTTTATTTAAAAAACTTTAACCTTCGCCATAACTTTTGAACAGTTGTTTCTAGGTCTTTCAAATTTCACAGGTGTATTCCTTGAGACAAGATCTTTCTTTGGGTATCAATATTTTTTATCTTTTGGCCTGGATTTTGACTTGCATTTGAGAATCTTTAACCTTCGCCATAAGCTGCCATACGGGGGCATCAGTGTTTCACAAACACATCTTGTTTAAATATGTATTGTTGACTTATTTTGTCTCTCCCCGGCATATTCAATCAAACATTTCCGAAGTCTCTGTGGGTTTAATCTAAATTGCCACAAATTAACCTCCCTCCGGCGTCATTTAACCACTATTTTTTTAGTACTATTTAATGAATATATGATTAAGTCTCACTAAATTGACCAAATAAAGTAAAAATTATAAATTTTATTTACTTACTTTATTAGTCCTCTTTGTGCTGGTCAGCTCATAAGGCCGGCACTGGAGACTTCAATTGTTCATCTAAAACAGCATGGGGGTGATGAACAAAAAAATTATAAATTATACTTAACAATATTGTCGCATGATACGAGTGAATTAACCTGAAAATCGGACAAAAATGCTCATATCGAAAGATTTCACTCCGTTAGACTTAAGGTAGAAATAAGTCGTATTTTGGTTTGCGGTCGCGCAGTGTAGTCACACCAATGCTTATCAAAACATTGACAATTTATTCATAGATAATCCGTGTGTTTTATAGTATATTCTGTAGACAGAAAAGGTGATGATGAATAAATATGTGAAATTTCTACTATGTACCTTAAGTGGTTTAAATATTATGGCACCAGTCCACGAACATTTTGATAACTCCTCGTACTCAATAGAAAATCAACATGATAGTAAATAGACAGGGATTTTGTTACCAAAAAAAAAAAAAAAAATCATTTCCTTATTTTAAGATTTTAGATGATCAATATGTTTGTCAACAAGTTTTGGAATTTTTGAAAGATTTTAGAAAATTAAAACAAGAAGTCAATTAGAGTAAAGGACATTAAGTAAATCGTCTCGAATATCTGACAGTCATAAGAATTTTCAGTGTTTTTAAAATAAATATTTTCTTTAAAATGTTTATAGGCCTTCTCATGTTTACGCACTTGGTTGCAGCAATGGTAGGGGGTTGAATTATTTTCCTAGTTTCGCTCGTCATAAAAATTCGTCAAAGTAGGTGAGTAGTGTTTTTTATGGAAAGGAAAGAGACATTCCCTTTTTAACTCTGGTTCAAATAAAGCAACACACAGAATGTGAATAATGATAGATGTTTGGTAGAACACAAGTGTTAACCGAGGGGACTGTGATAGAAAGTCGTCGAACTAAACATGCATGTTTCATAATATTCGAAAGGATTTTTAATGCTTGAATTGGCACATGAACAGCATGAAAAATTTAATAATGTATATAAAAGCACATGTACGAGTACAATATTTACACTCCGTCACGCTTTATCCATTCATTGTGATCTAAGACACTTGACATTTTTTCTTATCATGTTTATCACAAGCATACTTTCCTATAATGAACTGATGTAGGGCTGGCCCCTTAAATATCTTAATACACTCAATCTAGCACTTAATTGGTGAGCTGTGTTTGGTAGATGTGTCTGTAGCAACAGAGGCATAATATTTTGGAGGTTCTACTAGTTGATAAGCATTGATCATTGGTTATGAGGAACATACCTGATGATTAGAAAAACATTTTCAGAATAGCCTCCATACTTAACTTTTCATCCTCCCTAAAAAATTAAACAACCTAAATTTTGACCAAAATTATATTACTAAAAGTCAGAAAATTAACATGATTAAAATAATATGCATGAGGTAAATCTGGGCAAAAATATTTTTAAAAAGTCCTGGGTTGCATTTTCGCTATTTGTCGATACAAATGACATAAAATTAAAAAAAAAAAAAAAGATCATAATTCAACATGCATTTCTTTTTCTTCAACATTTTTTGGGATAATTTGATGAATTAGAAATTGATAGATGTAATAATTTATAATGTTTACTTTTGTATCCATGCAGTAATTATCACTTGTTGGAAAAAAAATTTGTAAGATTTAAAATTTTGTATTCGGACGCCTTGTGCTGTTATAAAATCATATACATGTGTTTGTATAAGCATTAATGGAAGATTGAAGTAAAATTCTTAATTATTTTATCAACTAAATCCTTGAAATATCAGATACTTCTTGATTTTTTTGGCCTTATTCTAATATGTTGACGGTGCGACCGTTAGGGCGAGTGCAGTTGTTCAAGATCCGCCTCTTCAAACCGCACGAGTCATTTGGAACGTCTTGACTGTGACTTCAACATATACAGACGTAGACAAGTCACTCAATACATGGTAAGTGTCAATATTTCAATATTTTGACTTGGCTACTTTTTTTATCATTACATGACCTTAATAAACCATTCTCATAGCATTTTCACATTATGCTTCAAGCTAAAGATGAGAATGTAATACCAGTTTCAGTAAAATACATTGTATATAAAACAGGATACGACATTCACAATATCAGAGTATAAATGCTATACTAACAAGCTTATTCAGATAATCTGTGTCCGCTGCTAAGGAAAAAAGAGCATGTACGGATCTAGAGGGGTGGGGGGTAGGAGGGTGGTGGGGAATGGGGGGACGGGACATTTTAAGAGGGGCGGGCGGAACCATAGGGAGTTATGATATAAAATTTCATTGCAAAAGCTTAAAAGCTTCTTCGGATATCGCTCGGAAATGAAAGTTTTACACACACACAGAGTGTATAATTTTTGACCTTGACCTTTGACCTTCTGTCCGTATTTACCAATTCATGTGATGCTAATTATTGTCCACCAGAACTGTAATTTGTTTATTCATATGCTGTTTAAAACACAAGTATTGGTTATGACACAGAAAAAAATGTGCTTATTTTCCTTAAATTTACATCAAAATCGAGCCATTTTGACCTTTGACCTTTTGTCATGAAAATTAATTTTTCTCCTTGTCGTTGCTATTGAGTACCATATATCTAAATTTGGTTTTAATCCATTTAAAAATACTCAGGTATTTATATGGAAACTGATTGTAGATACCTATTGCCCTTTTCTGAATTTTTTTTAAAAAAAGCATAAGTTTGTAACCATGGTAACATGAAAACAACATATAAATACCAAGTGTTTCTTTGCAGTTTATATTAGAACTATGTATGGACTTTCAAACTAATGTATTTACTTTTTCCCAAATGTCCGCAAACTTTTATACCATGCTTTTCAAAAGAGCCTAAAATCTGCAATTTTCCCCAGAAAAATCCTACTTAAAAACAGGGGATATTTTTTCTATGGGGAAAAGTTACTCAAATACTAGAAATTATCTAAAGAACTAAAAAAATGATGCATTTTGGCAAAAAGATAAAGACATGTAAAAATCTTGTTCTATTAAAGACTTTTAATAGGTCAAAAAGGGTAATTTTTCATCAAAATTTAGCGTTTTTAAGGCCATGAAAAATGTGCGTTTGTTGCCGTGGTAACCATTGACCATAGCAACAATTTTATTATGAATTTTAGTTTCATACATCAATATAGGAATGTGTGCCAAGTTTCCTAAAAATCCAAGACCTAGCGTGCCACACTCCCTATATAAGAGTTTAAATGCTTACAGAGAATGGCTATTAACTAGCTGAATTTACATAATGGAAAGTTTGAAAAGTGCAAAATTTTAACAAAGAACATTTAATCTACTACTGTATCTGTATACAATATTCTTTAAATCAGAGGTGAGTTTATGTGAACTTTTGTTGTTACCGAGAGAACGTAGTTCGCGGCGAGATATAATAAGCGTTGCGTTGTGGGTCCAGAGGTTACAGCGGAAAAAAAAATCGTTTAAATGAATGTGCACAGTCCGAATTTTCTCTTCGCCCAGGCGTTGTCGTGAGAGCTCGCAGGGCGAGCGGCGCTTAGCGCCGCTCAATGCGCTTGCTATTATTCACTTTTCTAAGAGGTGCAAGAGTTGACGCTGTTATGCGACTTTTAAAAAGAGCCAACAAAAAGTGCAAGAACGCTTAGATTTAGGTTAAAACATATGATTAAAATAATCTCCTATCGTCTATAATTTGATATGATTTGTTTACCCAACTCGTTGTGAGTTTTCTCTTCTCTTGCCATTAGCTCTGGGATAGAAAACACACGGTTTGGATAAAACTTATACAATTACAAACCGTGCATGAAAGATACTATAGTTATTTTTTGTAACAGAAATAAGCCTGCCAGAAATACTGGAATTCTAAATGCCTCATATAGTGGACAAGAAAGTGACACAACTATTCAGACCAATGCCAAACTATACTACTGCGAAGAAGCTGTATATCATGAAGTGTCTGACGGAACGGTATGTATGCTACTTGGATATTGTTTTGCACAAATATCGTTTTATTTTAGGCCTATGAATCAATTTATTCTTTTATCACAATATTGTAGATGTTTTCTATCTCAAAGTCGATTACAATGCCAAAATCTGAGTCAAATCATATCAAAAATATGAAATAAAGTTGTTCTCTTTCACAGCAAACAATGTCCGTAGAGAATAGTTCACGTCCTCATTTTTCTACTAGACAGGCAGTCTCAGATTTCCCTAAGCGCTCCAAGCTTCCAGATGTACCCCAACTAAGCGAGAAAGATGCGTATAATTGCTTGACCTCTCAACAGAAGAAGGACGTTAAAGAGTTTGATGACGACAATTACGACCACACACACCTGCATGGTTTAGATATGATGAAAAATGATAATATACTATATGATAAAAGCGTCAAAGAAGAAAATGGAACTCTTAATATACTGAGTAAAATCTCAAATGAAGCATGTATTGAGGAGTCGATGAAACATGACTATTTTGTTCTTCAGAAAGAGCTGAAGTAAATGTTTGACTCATAAATTGTCTCTTAATTTTTTAACGTCTTTTCCTAGAAACATTGACAATACTATGGACTTCCACTCAGAAACATTAACTTTTACACATGAAGTTTTCCGTCTATGGTTATTTTTATTTTGCATTTGCATCGATTAGCAGAAGTGATACTTTTTTATAAGATTAAACATTAACTTACCAATTTTACATTAATGATAATTTGAATGTAAAATAGAAATATGTGGAGATAACGAACAGTATTCGAGCTCAAAAGTCCATTAAACATTACAAAATAAGAGCAGAGCAAACACGGGCCTCTAAAACTTCAGAGGTGGGATCAGGTGCCATGGAGGAGTGAGCATCCCCTGCCGACCGGAAAAATCCGTCGACAATTCAGTGTGTAAATAATGGCCTAACAAATAGTGTGAAAAAAGTCAGTCAGCATTTGACTTAATGATAGATTGTATTTGCTGACAAGGTCATTGTATCGACCATAGAACTTACGAAATGATGACTTTAAACGAGACTGCTGATATTCTTGTTTCGTCAACTTGTTTGTCAATAACTTACCTCGTTTTAGAAATTGTTCATACATAGAGCATGCTCTGGCGTATCGAATCATCTGAGAGATATAAACCCCGTATGCAGGTAATAGGGGTATATTGCTGCATAAATAAGGGAAGTTATTTGAAAAGTTAAAGTCATCATGTTTATCATAAAGCTTTGTTGTTAGATTACCATTAACATCTTTTCTAATAAAATATCCAAATATGAAACTGATTTGTCAGACTCTGTGGTATCTTTTACCTCAAGCACACCGGGACATATCGAATCGACATAAGAATGGAATTAACCATTGTTAATTGACAAAACATCGTCGATATATCTAAATGTCGAGTTGAAGGCCACAGCAAGTGTTTTCTTCTTTTCACTTAAAAGATTTTGAACAAATTCTGCTTCATATGAATACAAAAATAGATCTGCTAATAACGGGGCGCAATTGGTACCCATGGGAATTCCAATAGATTGTTGGAAGACCTGGTCTCCAAAATCCACATAGATGTTGTCAATCAGAAACTCGAGCATCTTTTTAATGTCAACTTCAGAGTACTTGTATGTACAATCAGAGTGCTTTTTAACAAAATAATTTTGTAAATGACCAATGACAAGGTAAGTAAATTTACGAGTTCTATTTTTATTGAAAAAGCAGTTGTCAACGATGTCAGAAAGTCTGGACTTTAATTTTTCGTAGGGAATAGTTGTATATAAAGTTAAAAAGTCGTAAGTTTTTATGTTGTTGATTTTTGAAAATTTTGTGATTTCAAATGTTCCAAAAATTCCTTGGAATTTTTTAGTATCCACATCTGATTTACACCACTTCTCGAATATATTGTTGCACAGTACTCTTAAAGCTTCTACTTCACTGCTGTTAATATCTTTGTGAGGAGTAAAGAAATAGCAAAATTTATTTCCAAAGCCAAGAAATTAAAAGATAAATGTAGCAAGATAGATTTACTGACCAGTGGAAACTAAAGGAATCCTAGGGCTGGGGTTTCCCAAAGTATTAGCCACTAGTATTTTCAAAATTAGAACCTCAAGACCACTGTCAAATTTCTTTATATGGAAACACTGACGCTCTGAAACTAAGTTTTTGTCGTGCAATGAATGAAGGAAAAAATTTCAGGTAATCTTTCAGATTAGACGAAAGTACAAAGCTTGGATTTAAAGTTTTATCCAACCGAACAGGGAATAGAGAATTCCTGAGGTTGTACAGTAGTTTTTTTTATTATGAAAAATTAGAATTTTCCCCGAAGTTTTCGTGGCACAAGAAATAATATATAAGACGCTTTCATTACTTTAGGTATCCTAACCCATGAAAACCTGTAGCCTCCCAAGATTTTCCGTGTTTGGAAAATTTCTGGAGCTTGGAATATCTGAAGTTGGAAACATTTTGGAATTTTGAGTAGTAGTTTCACTGAAAACTTTTGGGAATGAATGGAAACCACTGGAAACCTGATGTAACCTTGCAGTTTCCAGGCAGTTTCTCATGAACGGAATTTTTTTTTTCACTTTGTCTTTTATATATTGTATGGATGTTTGTCATTAAAACTCTTGTTTGTGTTCCTCTCAGGATACAGATTAGATGGTCCATATATATTTCCATATATTTCATGGTCAGAATGTCTTGACGTATTATTCGATTTTCTACCATATCTGCTGAATGACCGTGAAACTGTGCAGATCATGTTTGAGAGTTAATGTTATTCATTCTTTTAAAAATGTATTTCTTCATTAAAACACATTTTTTTTAATTATTCAGAAGATTGATTTCAAATATTTTATATATTAATTTGCTGCATGTTATACGTAAGCAGGTCTTTCACAGACGAACTGACAGGATGTCAAACATTCTATGTCATTCCAATTGAAATGCTCTCGGGAGTCCATAGCCAAACAATCTTGATCTCTGTATTGGTCCGGTCCCCCTTTCTGCCAGCCGTTATACTGAAATGGCTTTTGAGACTTTCCCCATACCCAGTATCCCTCCTCTGCAATATCTGTACCTCCTATCCACACAAAGGAAGCTAAAAGAAGAATAAATAAATCTTTACAATGTTTTTTCCGAGAAAAACTCTAGAAAATTCTTATACTAAAGCAAGAAGAAAGAAATGATAACATACCATGGAGTTTGGTTAAAATTGATCTAATGAAAATATCTTCTCCTTTAGTTTCTATTACGGGCAACTCTGCTCCCATAGCAGCGCAGTGAGCCTAAATAACAAATCATAATATTGTGTCAATTTGCATCAAACATTACTTAAGGTCAAAATCTATTAAATGAAAGGTGTTTACAGATTTCTCAAATTTGAGAAATTAATTCGTTTAATGATGCTTCATCACTATAGCTTCGTAAAATATTGTGTGTTGGGGCATGGTGTTAAGGTAATCAAAACAAAAAAAAAAAAAAAACAAATTTTAAACGGGCTTTTCCAATGAAAATGAAAAAAAAAATCCAGTCATGAATATGGAAGTTCTTTCCATATCAGACAAATAAAATGCATCCATATTCCCTACATTCTCTAAAAAAACGGTAATGTATACGTTCTTGGCTTCTACATAAAAAAATACTAAATTTGATAAAGTGAAATATATGGAGATAACGAACAGTATTCAAGCTCAAAAGTCCATTAAACAATACAAATTTTGAGCAAAGCAAACACGGACCTCTAAAACATCAGAGGTGGGATCAGTGCCATAGAGGAGTGAGCATCCCCTGCCGACCGGTCATACCCACCGTGTGCTCCTTGTCATGATTGAGAAATAACAGAAAAAACCGTCGACAATTCAGTTTGTAAATAACGGCCAAACAATTAGCATGAAAAACGTCAGTCAGCATTTGAATTTGCTGACAAGGTCATTTTATCGACCATAGAAGTTTCTATGAGGATAATCCTCCTCTTGATCACCTCATGACCATAACGGTGTCGGGATTACTTTTCACATAATTACAAATTGAATTCCATGAAAATGTATCATTTTTTATTTAATTGTATTAAAGCCGAAAAGTACGGGAAAAAAGAGAAAATTTAGATTAATTATGACATCATAATGGAACTAGCACCAAAACGGTCCAACTTCTTTTACTAGAACTTGATATTAAGGTCAAGATCTAATAAATGACTTTGGACTGTCTTTTTGGTGCTAGATCCATTATGATGTCATAATCAATTTAAAGTTTCTTTTACCCGTAATTTACAGTTCCAATAGAATTACAGCCTACTCCAGATATATTGAACTTCAGAGGACCATGCAAATTATTTCAATATATCCGTAATTCAATACAAGTAATAGCTTTTTAAAAAGCTTGCCTGACTAATCAATCAATATCTATGGAACGTATATGCAGGAGAGGTGCTAAACGTTTCCGTTATCAAGGAGCGACATAGTTGCGATACTTCATACAAGATGTACAGTTGACTTTCTCAAATTTCATAACCAAATACTACAGATTAACGAATATCTAAGACATGCCACTATTTGGTCATTTATTAGTTAGCCCACGGGCTGACTATAGTTACGTTGAGATGAAACTGCAAGTGCGTTAGCGTAGATTATAATCAAAGGCGGATCCATCACAGGCGCGCCGTTTGATTTTTTTTGTATGTAGAATTTATATGTTCATTATCCTAAAATCAAGGAAAAAACACCTCTTATTTGTAAGAATTCGTCATCTTCCGGGAGCTTCGCCCCCGAACCCCCATCAGAGCTTTGCTCTGGACCCACTGGGGTTTCAATACAGCCCCCAGACCCCCTGCCTTCTACTGCGCCCTCCCGTTATGAAATTCCTGGATCCGCCACTGATAATTCTGGGAAAATAGTTAGATGATTCATTTTAAAGAAATTCATATTACATGTACTCTCTTACTTGAGGGCGCACTTCTTCATGGTCAGTGATAGATTGATGAGACGGCCTCTATTTATAGACTGGTCTGTTTTCCGTCGATCTCGACGAATTATGAACAGTTTTAACTGGGAAAGTTGTCTTGAAGTGTTTGAGACAAAAATGCTTCAATGCTACTCTAGAAATCAAAGTAAATAATCTGTACACTTTATAGCTAGCGCAAAACAAGATACTCATAACCCCCCCCCCCCCCGGACAAAACTCACGCGATGATGGTCTTACCATATACAAGTACATGTATTATAAATGAGCTTAAAATATATCTTTATATACAGTTTTGAAATTGTTAGTTTTTCTTTTCAATCGATTTCAGGACCTTTCTCATAATTAAAATAACGTGCTTTTTTATGAAATGAAAACCAGTACAGATCATGATGTTTTCTTCATTTTGCCGATTCTTTACTTAGAACCTTACGGGAGTGAAGCCCATTCCCCTACGGGTACTGACCTACACTCTTGTCACTGTATTAAAAGGAAACCCTTGTTCATAACAAAGCATGAAATAATATGCTACTCGCTGACTTTCTAAGCTTTTTTTAAAAA